AAAATATCTCACTTATGCTTTTTTATGTTGATCAGATGTTCAAATAATATTTTGGATATAATGTGGCTACTAGAAAATTTAAAATTCCACATGTACTTTGCCTCATTTCTGTCGGGCAGTACTGCTCTAGACTTAGGCACGATGCAGGATATACTTATATGTATGGCATGATCCCATTTTTTATTTTAAATCTTAATCTACTATGGCTTTTTTCTCCCTGTAGCATATAAAGGCAGTTTTACCGTTTTAATGGCTGCATAATTGGGCACTGTATGGTTGTGCTGTAATGTTTTTAACCATTCCCATTTTGATGAACGTTTAATTGGTTCCAATTTTTTGATATTGTGAAAAATGTTGCAGAACATTCTTGGAACCTTTCAGTATTTTTAGGATAAATTCCCCAAGGTGGAATTCCTGGCATGCGCTTTTATGAGTCTTCATCGATAAGGCCAGTAGTCTCCAGAAAAGAACTGGTTTGTTTCTTCACCCCTCCCAGGCACTGGTCATTGTTTCCTCTCTTTAAACGGACACTGAACAGTTCATTTTTGTTTAAAGTTGACTTACATTGGAGGGTTGAGCACCTTTTCATATGCTTGGTGTGTTCATTTGTAGTTTTCTTTGTATTTCCTCTGTTAAGACATTATTTATAATTCTGTTTTTAATCATTAAATGATTATATTTTTAGACATAGGAAGTCGTGGAAACCAGAATGTTCAGGATAAAATATTACAAATACATATTTTAAATAAGGCACCTTGGCATGAGTTTTCCCCTCGCTTGTTTGGAGCTTACGCATCTCTCAGCCCTACAATTGGAAAAGCACTGGTTATGATAGGTACCGTTTATCAACTGCTTTTGAGCCAGGTCATTTCTAAGAGCTGTATGTTCACTCATTTAATAATAACACTATGATGTAGGCACCCCCATCATCCTCATTTACAAACGACGGACCTCTGCCTTACTTGTCCAAAGCCACACTCCTCGTCTGACCACTCTGCTGCCTTCCACGAGGTTCTGTTCCAGTGATGGTGGGTCTGGAACATCATTTGTGCATAAAAGAGGCCCTAACATGGAGCGTCTTTTCTACCAGCACTGCCCTGCCCGCCAGCAGCCGAGAGAAAGGAGAAAGGAAAGTCTCTGAGTACAGAAAAAGGGCAGATGGTCTGACCCATAGTTCTTCCCTCGGGGATCTGCTGCTTTGCCTTCCACCACCACACGCAGCCCCTAGACAGCCTGGTGCTTCTTAAAACTGTCCCACATTTAGGCAGAACCCTTGTTTTTGGCTCTCCTTAGGCCACGTAAGCCCCGAAAGAGGGTCATATCTTCAAAAAGGGGTAAATATAACAATCAAAAGGTGTACATGAAACTCAAGCAGTGTAAAATTACTTGATTTTAAATCTAACCCTCCCTTCATCCCAGGGCACTGATCTGCTTTCCAGCACTTTCCCTGTCTCCATCTCTTTCTGAAGCATCTTCTTTCCTATCCTGCTTGATGTCTGATGGGCGTTTCGTTCCCTTTCTGAGCTAAGATCAGGGAAGTAGGTCTGCGACTCCTGGAAGCTCTCTCCCATCTGTCCACCTAGCTGAAGGTTTTCACATTTATGGGTGTGCCCTGCTCACTGCCTATTGGCTGGACAGGTGTTTGGAAAATGAGCTCACCTTCACTCAGGATGTCAGCTTGACCATCAGAGACAAGGCCCCTTCCTCCAGCATATGAGGGGAGAGCCTTACAGGAGGATACCCAGGACCCAGACCATTGCCTATTACAACTTTAGGTTCTTATCGGGGACTTTGTCAAAGCACTTTGGAAGCTCCTCCAAGCAGGAGCATTTTAGGTTTGATATGCGGAGGAGGTCCTCAAGTTGTCTGGGTCCTGGTGTAGGTGAGCACTGGTATATCTTGCTAACTTGTTGTGGGAATGATCAAGCTTATGTATCTGAGCTCCAAGTTAATGGCATATAATGTTCCTCTTAAAGTTTATTCAAGGGCCTATGCATTATTCCTCTCCTTTGAACAATTCTAATTGTGACATGGGCCCTGTAGGCTTTTCTGTCTTTTGCTGAAGTTTGGGGAGGAATGAAGAGGCCCATCAGGAAAGATACTTAATGATTTTCCTGTAGAGCTTTTGCCATTATAAAACTCAAACGTGTAGTGGCATGAAATCCTAAAAGGAATGAGAATACCCAGATGCCTTCTGCATGGAATTCAAAGACTCGGCTTATAATGTCTTCAGCACTAAGCAATTCAGGTCCCCTGGCTTAGAGACTCCACAAGAAAAAAGGTACTGGGCAGTAGGTTGTCAGTTCTACTGTATCGTGACCTGGCTACTGTGTATTTATGGGGTAGATGAAAAGGTAAAATATTTGAATTGGTAAATTGTGCTGTATTCAACTATCTTTGTGCGCCCTGGCCTTAGGCTCTGGTTTAATTTCCTTTTGCTAACTGCCCACCCAGACCCCAGTGCAGTCCCACCAATGGTAAGATGCATGCTCAGAACCTATTACCTGACTTCATATGATGCCCAGCTTAGGTATCACTTCAGGTGTTTCAGAGAGGAATCCACACAGAATCGACACCATTTTTATGAATTTCTGAAATCACCAAAATGAACAGTATTGGTGAAGGACATACATGTGATAAAATGATTAAAAACCAGGGAATGAGGGAAAAGGCAACTAGAATAGTAGGTATCCGGGGAGGGTGGGGCTGGCGGGGGAACAGAAGTGGGAACAGCACTGCTAGCGGGCTATGAGGTTTCCTGACGGGTTCACGGGTATTCATTTTTATTGCTGTGCTTCCTCAATTACATATTAAAAAAAGGTGATTCTGCAGAAAATAGGGTGAGTTACAAAGCCAAAGTTTAAAAAGCTTTGAGATTGTAGGTAGTTTTAGAATGTGTTTCACTGCGTGCAATTGATGGTTGGGTGTGTATATTTGCACAGCTGCTCTCGTTGAAGATGTAGGTTGAATCTTCTGCTCACATCCCTCACTTTTCCCAAGGTAGGGTTTTGCGTACTGTAGGGACTCAATAAATGCCCTTGAATTGGTTTAAAGACCACCTGTACTCCCTTCCTGTTTCCAGGCCGTAGCCCTTCGAGGAAAGCCCTTTCTTCACCAAGGAGCCACATGTACCGTCATGTTATCTGTCATTTGGGCTTAGAGTACCTGGTGGAAAGCCCATCTGTATCCCCTGGCACTTGCCTGAATCTGTGGGATGTGGAGCCCCTGTCAGGAGATAATTAAATGTTGTTTTTCTTCTTTTTTATTGTTGTGCGCAAAGGCTTGGCACACGGTATGAACGTGGGTTAATAGCAAAGCAACATTTGTGGATATGAACGCTAATATAACTGCCTTGTTTTGGAACATCCTAATTTCACACAATTTTGATCACGTGTATTTTTTTGCTCTTACCTTCCTAAAGTTATCATTTACATTAAAAGCATAATAATTTTTTTCGCTTAGCTCAAATTTTTATTAACAGTCTCATCAAGACTCATGGATACTTGCGTGATTAGGTGGGGGTGAATACGGACTCCATCCTTCCTGTGAGATCGAACGAAGCAGGCAGCAGTGAGTCAGGGAGGAAACATCGGATCGAATTTGCTTCAGTCGTCTTCTCCCACAGGAACAATAATAATACTCATGGTTTTCATCTGAATATTCATACCATCTTTTATGTTCATCACTTGGCCAGCACCTGTAGAGAGCACTTTCTACCTGCAGTGATGCGTCACAGCCCATGCGTGAGGCAGAGACGAAGAGCCCATCCCTGCAAAGTAGTCTCTGACCTTGAGTTCTTCCAGTCCAGTGGTTCATTTGTTGTATGAATAAGTATTAAGGAGGTATTTGTACATTAAAAGGAGATAAATTGCTCTGTCTTGTTTCATCAGATTTAATCAAATTCTTAATTTGCTTACACTTGCTAATGAGAGCTAATGTGTATTTGTGAAATAAGGAAAATGAATGTCTCCTTAGCCACAAACTAGTGTTTCTTTGCTATCAAGCTGCTTGCTTTTTTAATGGTCATTTTACTGTGTATACATGTGTGTAACTATGTAACAAGCTGTGTGCACCGAAATGGTAAGAATACCCTTAAAATGTGATTTTTTATGACTAACACGTCCAGTCCTACCTGTATGAATGCTGGTTCCTTCGGGATGTTCCCTTTGGCAGAGGTACAGGGATACTGGAGCTCATCAATACTTCTTCTGAAATTGGCTTCAGATCTGATGATGCATTCTTTTTCCTTTGTATGGTGGCAAAATCTGTGCCTGGAAGGTATGCTTTCTTTTCTGGAAACAGCCAAGAGTTATTCAGAGAACTAAGCTGGTTGAGTAAGGTAGGAATTCACTGACTTATATTTCTGTTACAGGCAAAGTGTGACTTGCAGGTACTGATGACAGTTGTGTGTGGCCTCTTACGAGCTGTCATCCTCAGAAGTAGTCAGGCTTCAGATGCTCTCAGTGATCAATCAGTGTAGAGCCTCCCAGGCTGTTAGGAAAATACTCATTTGAACGTAGCAGTTCTGGTTTGTTTGGTTAAAAACTTAAAGGCTCACCACATTTTATAGTAACACTGCTTTATAGTCCCATTTAAATATATATGTATGTTAACTTATTACATGGCATATAGTTGCCTCAGCGTTATGACAAGTATAATAACATTAATGAATACTTACTGATTTAAGAATCACATGGAAAGCCCATTCCACCTAATTTCCTAAAATGCTCTTTTGAAAGTAGATGGAAGGATGATCTTTTTAAAAAAAATTAAAAAATTTTTGGCTGCGTTAGGTCTTTGTTGCTGCACGTGGGCTTTCTCTAGTTGCGGCGAGTGGGGACTGTTCTTCATTGCAGCGTGTGGGCTTCTCATTGCGGTGGCTTCTCTTGTTGCGGAGCATGGGCTCTAGGCATGCAGGCTTCAGTAGTTGTGGCGCACGGGCTTAGTTGCTCCACGGCATGTGGGGTCTTCCCGGACCAGGGCTCAAACCCGTACCCCTGCATTGGCAGGCAGATTCTTAACCACTGCGCCACTAGGGAAGTCCCGAAGGATGCTCTTTGTACCTTCGTACCCCTGCTATGCATCAGGCAGGATAAGAAAGGAAGGCAGAGCAGTATTATTTGCAATTGCCAAAAGGAGGAAGCAACCCAGTGTCCATCATGAATGGATGGAGAAACGACATGGGGTACATCCATACAAAAGAATATTATTTAGCCTTAGAAAGGAAGGACGTTGGTTCAGTCGGGTCCCGGCACTGGCTGCAGTGACTCCTACTCCTGTCTTTTCTGGCTCTCCTCGCTATCTCCCTTTCACTTCTAGAAATGTGGTCTCCAGTGTGGCTGTCTCTGGTGTCATCAAAGTGTTCAGTGACATGAAGGTGAGTAAGTCGTCCTCACCAGAGGATGTGAAGAAGCGCAAGAAGGCGGTGCTCTTCTGCCTGAGCGAGGACACGAAGAACCTCATCCTGGAGGAGGGTGAGGAGATGCTGGTAGGTGATGTGGGCCAGACTGCAGACAACCCCTGTGCCATCCTTGTCAAGGTGCTGCCACACAAGGACTGCCATTACGCCCTCTGTGATGCAGCCTGTGAGACCAAGGAGAGCAAGGAGGAGGCCTGGGCCCCTGAGTCTGCACCCCTGAAGAGCAAAATGATCTATGCCAGCTCCAAGGTTGCCATCGGGGAGAAGCTGATGGGGATCAAGCATGAATTAGAAGCAAACTGCTACGAGGAGGTCAAGGACCACTGCACCCTGGCAGAGAAGCTGGGGGCCAGCGTTTTCATCTCTCTGGAGGGCAAACCCCAGACCTGCCCACGGGGGTTGCAGGCTGCCCCCTTCCTGCCAAACCAGAGGGGCTGGGGGGGGGGTCCCAGCAGGGGGCGGGCAATCCCTTCACTCCAGTTGCCAAACAGCCTCCCCACCTCCTGGGCCATCCTCCTCCCTCCATCCCTGAAGGTTCTGGCCTTCCCAAACTGCTTTTTTTTTTTTTTTTTTTTTTTTTGCGGTACGCGGGCCTCTCACTGTCATGGCCTCTCCCGTTGCGGAGCACAGGCTCCAGATGCGCAGGCTCAGCGGCCATGGTTCACGGGCCCAGCCGCTCCGCGGCATGTGGGATCCTCCCGGACCGGGGCACGAACCCGCGTCCCCTGCATCGGCAGGCGGACTCTCAACCACTGCGCCACCAGGGAAGCCCCCAAACTGCTTTTGATCTTCTTGGGTTGAAGCAGATTAAGCTCAAACAGGGGTATGCCTGGGGGAAGGAGCACTGTTTTTTTTTAACACCCCAGTTCCCCATCTGTTCCTTCCCTTTCCCATGCTGCCAGCTTCTAATAGCAGTAGTGACTCTGTCCTTGTGTGTTTAGTTCTGTATATAAATGCAGTGTTGTAGAGATGACCCCTCCCCATGCTGCCTGGTTCCCCTAACCTTTTTCCCCGTCGTGGCCACTCATGGAAGCAGGACTAGTAAGGGACCTTCAATTAAAAACAAACAAAAAACAAAGGAAAGAAGGACATTCTGACACATGCTAAACATTGATGAACCTTGAGGACATTATGCTAAGTGAAATAAGCCAGTTATAATGTGACAGATACTGTGTAATTCCACTTACAAAGGTATCTACAGGAGTCAAATTCATAGAGACAAAGCAGAATGGTGGTTGTGGGAGGGAGGGGAGAGTAGAGAGTTGTTTAAATGGATGCGGAATTTTCAGTTTTGCAAGATGAGAAGTTTTGGAGATGCCTGGTGGTGATAGCTGCACAACAATGTGAATGTGCTTAATGCCACCGAACTGTACATTTGAAAATGGTGAGGATAGTAAACTATGTGTTATACCACAATTAAAAAAACTCTGGAGAGAAAAGGGCAGGGAAAATACGGTGGTCAAGAGTATAACCTTTAGACTCGATAGACCTGGGTTTTGAGTATTGGTGTCCTGTCTGTGTCACCCTCGTACAACCCCCCCACCACCCACCACCCCCCGCCCCAGCATTTACCGGCTGTGTGGCCTTAGACAGTTGCTCAACTTCCAGGCTTCATTTATCTGTAAAACAGGGGTAAGAAGCTAGTACAGCCCTCAGAGGCTTGTTGATGAGATAAAATGAGAACACGTGAACTGTATTAGTTGGTGCTAATCCTGTTGCTAGGAGAAGGTCTTGTCCTTGGGAAGCCGCAGTCCAGTGCAGGACAGTGTGGGGTGAGAGCCTGAAGGGCTGGGAAGGTTGCTGTGGGTGCTGATTCACTGGTTCCAACTCCTGCATGTGGGGCGGCCCGCCTTGGATTGGGTCCTCTCATTTAGCAGAGCACCAGCATTGGTGGAGAAGCTCTAGGGCTGTGCACATGCTTTTCCTCTTTCAGGTGTGGGGAAGGAAAGAACAAAAGGAGTCTTAAAGTCCTGGCTTTGTGACCACGTATCATCTCAAATCTTCAACCCTAGCACTCCAGACCTAACTGTTCTATAGCTTAAAATTGTGGATGCCCCCGACTGTACCGGGAGGAGCGTCCCACCTTGACACCACTAACAGGATGCCTGTATCTGTCTTTTGCTCTTCCTGGCACTTGGCGGATGTCTATATCTGTCTATTGCTCTTCCTGGCACTTGGCGTACTAGGCTATTTTGGTTACAAGGGCACTTCAAGATGTAGGCTCTACTCTAAGGATGCTGTCTTAGGAACCAGGCTTAGCTGATCTGAGCAGCCTGGCCTAAGAGATCAGCACAGTATTAGGATACCAGAAAGATGCTCACCCTTTCTGAGACTTCAGGGACCAGGTTGTCCTGTCAGCAGCAGGGAGGCATTTCCTTCCAGGCCAGTGCCATTAATGTGACTCAGTTACTCTTGGCTCTGCCCTTTTCCCTGTCTTCTTACCACCGCCTTGGATTAAACACCCCTTCCTGAATCTCCAGTTCCAGTTTAGATTGGCTGTACTATCTGCTGTTATTCCCGTGTCACCAATGGCAAAAGCTTTAAAGCTTTTGTAGAAAGCAGACTCTTGATTGGCTGTTCCTAGGCAGGTACACCTGGTCCAAGGAGCTTCTGAAGATGGATCGTCACTGAGAACCATGTGTCTCCCTCAGAAGAGGCTGTGGATGTTACAGGCTATGGTTTTCCCACTTACAGGTGCATCGGAATGACCCAGAGAACTAGCAAAAATGTAGGTGCTGCTTCTCATCCCCGTAAAGTAGGATTTGGGGGATTGAGCCTGGGATTGGTTTCGTGTTTTGCTAGGTCATGGCTATTTGTGGTACTTGGATCCTTCTGCTTGAGTTTCTAATCTGGTTTTTGACTATTGTCAATCCCTGCCTTGGTTTCTGGTGGTGGTTTCCACATCTGACCTGCTATTAGACCCTAAAAACAACACTGGGATATGGGCTTTAACATCTATTAACATAGATGTTGAAACAGCTATTACAATAGTCCAATAATAGACTTTTTTTTTTTCCTTTTTGGGTTTTGTGTGTCTCCTCTGCTGAAAGTATTCTACATCTTCTTTTTCTCCAAGTGCTTCCTCTACTTCCTCCCTCCTCCCTTGCCTCACATTCCTTAACCTTCTGTAATGCATCCTTAATAAAAGCTCTAGGGATTGCCCACTGCATTAATATCCCTGAAATCTGACCGGCAGTATTAAAACCACTGCCAGGCTGCTAGGGTTACACAACACTCAGCCATGTAGAGAGCCCGTACTGAATGGGGCAGACGCTAAGGGTATCAGCATGAACTGTGCTCAAGTCGCAATGTGAACCATCGCAGAAATCAGAAACTGCCTTAAATGCTGGCCGCAGAATAATGTGTCCAGGGCTATAAATAACTCCAGCAGCCCTGGAACTGTAGCCTATATCTAAAGCGATGTAGCTAAGTGCCAGCCAAATAACTAGTTAGGCTATAATTGTTTTCCACTTTATCTCACTCAGTAAGTCAACTTTGGCTTAATTCTGGAATTTGAAATCTCGCCTCAACGTTTCTTGTGCTTTGCCAGCGGGGGGTCAGTGGTTGCAGTTTCCTGATGAGCTATGTTTATGCATCTCCGGTTTTTCCTGTGAATTTACAGGGCACCTTAAGAAATTATTCGCTGTGGTAAACAATGGTTAGAATTTGAGTTCATGGCACTGAGATGGGAAGTTTGATCGTTTTCAGTCATACACGTTCTGGTTTAACAGCGTTACACAAGTGGGAAGTAGCACTGATGCTACTCTGTGCCAGTCTGGGCTGTGAACTCTGAGTCTGAAGCTTTATTTTGTGGAGATGTCCATTTTCAGCTCATCATGATGGCCAGAATTGCCCTCACCCACAGCTGAAATGTCTTCCATTCTTGGTCTCAATTGGTTGGGCAGTGTTAGGAAACCGATACAAGTATTTGAGACTCTTCTTGATGTCAGGCACAGCGCTGGATGTAAGAGGCGCATGGTCCTCGTTAACTTACAATTATATTCCGTGTAATAAGCGCCATCCAGGAGTAGTGAATGAAGGAAGTGTCTTACCAAGAGGACAAGGGTGGTAGGACGTGACCCCCGTGTAGTAGGAAGTTGTTGAGGTTCTTGGGCTGTCATGGCAGCTCTTAAGACAGCGGTTTAGGAGGAAGTCTCACCTCTTCCCTCCTGTCAGTCCCTCAACGGGCCCTTCTGTCTCCTGCCTCTTAGCGTGGGGAAGGGCATATCTGTCCCCTGCCCCAGAAGCACACTTCATTGGGTAGTGATGAAGCTCAGAATCGCATCACCCGGGGGCTTCCAGCCTCCAGAGCTGTTCCTTCTCTGAGCTCTGTCTTCTCAGAGCTCGCTGGAATGGGAGCCCCATTTGTCCACTTGGAAGACTGCTTTTCCTCCCTCCAGCCTCAGGGGCTCAAGTCTGCAGGTAGAACAGCTGGTTGGATGTAGGGGACATCCAACCAGCTGACTGGATGGGAAAGGATAGGGCTGAAGTTTGGTTTGTGTAGCCTTTTAAGATGGAGAAAACATCAAATAGTGATGTCAAAGAATGCTTCCCATAAATTACCATGCCATTTGAGGAGGAAGGTGAAGATGAGAGTATATAAAATCCAAACAAACAAAATGTTTATGAGCTGTTATAAGGGTATGTTTATTGTACTCTTCTTTTTGGAGCATAAAGATACAGTGTTACCCAAAGTATGGAAGAATATTTGCATGAATCTTTTCAGAGCTGCCTCTAACACTGAGCTGAACCTCTGCAGCTTATTCCTGAGAACAAAGTTAATTTAGCATCAACTTGTATCCATAAAACTTGGGTTATCTTGATTTATGTAACTGTTTTAGTTTTACTCTTTCCCATTGTTTTAAGTGGGTATCATATGACGTTTTCTCAAAGCTTGGTGTTCATCATCTCCCTTATAAAATAGTACTTTTAATCTTAACAAATAAGTGTTAACTATGGTTTATCTGGTACTGGTGCACTAACTTGACTTAAGGTGATTCAAACATAACCAGAAATACAGGCAAGAAACACGTGCCAATAACTTTTTCACCTGGGATGATAAACGATGATCATAAGAGTGAACAATTGTCTTCTAGGCAAAAAATTGTAGTTTCTTAAATTGTTGCAGGCTTTAGAAAAGGCTATGGATTTTACGTACTGTAGTGAGATTGCTATCACATTAACCTCTTTACAACTTCTTTCTTATCAAGACGATGATTTACAATAGTGAGTGTTCAAAATGGAAGTTTTGCAAAGTTCCGTGTGAACTTTGTGTGAACTGTGCCGGTGGTGGCTCTTGGTTGGCCATCATGAAGTATCAGCCTGGATTGAGGACGAGGTGTGGAGGGGAGGATGAATTTGCAGATGTGAGAAAACAGATGTCCTTTGAAGAGGACTGAGTAATGGTGGCGCAATCCTAGAGCTTGGGTAAATCTGGCTCATGGATACACCGAAATATCAGGTATTCAGCATGTGTGTGGGCAAAGGCAAACAATTGCCAAGAAGCCAACCAACTGGAAAACAAAAAAAAATCAGTTGCGTGAGTCATCACCCTGCTTAGTGAGGATGTGCATTGGGGCGAGGGTGAGATGGAAGGAGGGAATCTGTTTCCTGAGGCAGCTCAGAGCCTCTCGAAGTGAGAGGTTTTGAAGCGAAGTCAGCCTCTTGAAGCATCTCACTGTGATGGACAGTGTGAGAGATGTTCAAAGGTGATTTTGGTACTGCTTGGTGATTTTTGCTTTATTATTGACTTTAGAATCAAGCTTCCTCACCGCCCCCAAGATGTGACTCCCCTACGTTCTGATGTTGGTGACATATTTTTAAGGGATCTCTAAAAATAGAGCTAGAGGTAGCTGCCTAGAAGAGAAAAGTGCATGGAAACTATGGCACATGAAGAACGGCTGGGGGGCCCCAGGCATAGAGGCCAGAAAAAAGGAGATATAATCCTGGAATGTATAGGGCTGTCATGTGGAATTCATGTGTTTCCTCTCTGAGTTCATCTGAGGGTCATAGTGATCATCAATGGGTATGTGCAGGGAGGTGAGTTGAGCTCGGGGTCCAGAAGCACATGGCCCCCAGTAGTGGAATGGGCTGCCTTGTGTGGAAGTGAGGGCTTCATCTCTGCAGGTATCTTAGCAGGTTGGGCACCACCCAGCAAAGGATGCCATGGGGGGTGCCTTAGAATGGGAATTTGACCCATACGCTCTTAACTTCTTGCCCACCTTGAAAGGTGGCTAGCAATGGCTGCTTCTTCGGAAGGAAAAATATAAAACTAAGGTGAGAAGGAATAATTACAAATGAACAGTAAAAGGAAGGAAGGAGTAAACCACATGCGATTCTACTCATCTATAAAAGGAAACCTAAAGAAATTTGTTTTCTGATTTTTGTTTCTCTTAGAGAAATAAGTTTCCAACTCACTTGAATTTATTCTAAGAATGAGAATTACAAAGCTTTAATTGATTCAGTACAAAATAGTTTAAAATGTGATTTAGTTCCATGTTTTGGTGGTGGTGATTCACTGGTGGGAGGTGGAAACGCAGTGTAAGAGGACCACCTGTTACCTTTCTTTTAGGAAGAAGCTGTGTGTAGGTTGCAGGTTTGGATGCATACAGGAAGGCGGTGAGAATGAATGAAGGAGATCAGACGAAGGGCGATCAAGGTGGAGGGCGAGTGTGAAAGTCGAGGTAGGTGGGCACAGCGTGGGCTCTGCCATGGACTGGGCTGGTGCTCTGTGGACCCCTTTGCAGAGAATAATGCTCTGGTCAGTCCTAGAAGAAAGGCAGCTTGTAGCAAAGCGGGGTCAAATCCCCTGAGAGGCTGGCTGGGACCTGATTTGCCTTTTTCAGATGTCAGTTTCTTATAATGCTCTGGAAGCTGCTGATTTAGCTCCTCCTAGTGACAGATCAGAGACGTGCTGCTGTGGTGTGTCTGGCATGGCTGGCTGCCTTCTGACTCCTCCGGCCGTCACTCTGCTCGCCACTTGACAGGAGCCCTGGCATGGGGCATGTTCTTCTAGGAAAAGGGCCTGCTGTCTGAGGTCAGATGTCTTCTGGTGTCGCAGCGTGTCTGCATCAGGCAGATCACTAGCACCCTGTGTGAGGCATTTGTATGAGCAACTGAAAGAGAAATATCGATCGTGAGAGGCACAGAGACCAGCGTGGTGTGATGGAGAGAGCACGGGACTCTCCGCTTGGAGTGATGTCTTACGTGACACTAACTGCCGCTAAATAGTGGCACGTCGATGACCCGCCCGAGTGAGACAGTGTCACGTACCTCTCTGGACCTCGGTTTCATCACTTGCTGCACGAAGGGGGTAGGACCAGATCTCTTGCGCTTCTTCCCTCTCTAATATTCTGTGAAAGTGTCAATCTCTGAGTCCCAATCTGTACGTTTAAAAAATAACGATGCTGCCTCTTCCAGATTTCTTTCCTGACCCACTCAGAGAAGGAAATTGTTCAACCTGGAAGTATGAATTTCCAAAAGTGACCGTCTCAGAATGACAGACCCTTAGGAGCAAAGTTGTTTGTTGCTATTCCTTGTTCTCCCCATGATCTCCTGTGTTCCAGTAGGTGGCATGATCCAATTAATCCTCCAGGGTTTAATCCTTAGGCCCCAGATCCAGGCATCTTCCCCTCAATACCCAGTCTGTCTGCAGGTCCTGTTGACTCAACTTCCAAACAGAGCCTGGAGCCTCACTTTTCACCCCCTCACTACCGACCTGTGCAGCCCCCAGGTCTCTGGCCTGGGTAGTGGCAACAGTCTCCTAACCAGCTCCCCTGCTTTTTCCTCTGTCTCCTTCCAGTCTGTTCTCCACACAGTAGTCAGGTCATTTTTGTAAAATGTCACTTGGATTCTGTCACTCTTTTGCTCGAAACCATCCAGCTGTTTCTCTTTGCGTTTGGAAGAGAATCCAACCCCCTGCTAGGCCTGCCTACAGGGCACTCTCCATAATCTGGTTCCTGCTTGTCCTGACGCATTAGTGTTCCGTCTTCCTCACTGGCTGGTTCCATCCCTGCTGGCCTCCTCCTTGTTTGTTCACTGAACACTGCAGGCTTCTTGCCACCTCAGTGCCTTTGCCCTGGTCCTTCTCCATTGATGTTCTCTCCCAGGTCTCTGCGCTGGTGGCTTCTCATCACGCACCTGCTCACCTGCTGAGTCGGGTCCTCAGACTCCTTCTCTGTCACCCACTCAATCCATTACCCTGTTTTATTTTTCTCTTTGTGCTTTTCAGTACCTGGCTCTTTTGTTGGCTTGTCTTCCTTACCTAGATTCTGGTCCATGAGAGCAGCAGCTGCTCGCTCATTGCTGAATCACCAGGGCCTAGAACATGTGTAGCACGTAGAATGTGCTTGAGAAACATTTTTTAAACAAATAAAATGACATTACATTAAAGATGGACTTTATAAAGTAATGCTGCAATTGGCCAACTCCCCTAACCTGTGTTACAGATTTTTCAGGATTAGAATGAGGGAGATGGACCCTATGACTGAGTAGGAGAGTCCTGCTTGGGTACTGAGCCTGGCCAAAGCTCACTGTGCTAGGACCCCCTGTATAGGAATATATTGGGAATTCCAGTTCCCTAGGCCTGGGTATCAGTGTGCTTTCTCTTCTGGGCCAGTCTCTTTGCCTTCATTCATTCATTCCCTCACACTAACATGTTGGAATGTCCTAGTGCAGTTTTGCTTTAATGAACACAGGCCCCCAGTGGTCGTTACAGTGAAGGTCTTTGCTGACTGAACAGATTTGAGCAGCCATCCTGGTTAGATCCCCTTTAGAACCCACGTGTATTTTTTGGTAAATAGGCACAAGGAGGAGGATCTATTGCTGCATTTCCAAATCTAGTTTTGGATTTGGTTGTTAGATGAGGAGCCTCTTCTGGTTCTTCCCCTGTCATCTTCTCTCTCAGGTTTGCTTCGAAGGTGAAGCGCGTGGGTCTGTGCTCGGCACTCGCTGCACGGTAACCGTTTGTGACGGCTGGTTACCCATGTAGGATCATCCACACCCGCGTTGTGACTTATTGACAGAAGTTTGGTCTTAACACAACCCCTCCCCCACGCAGCCATGTGCCTTGGGCTGAAAAAACACTGGAACCCACGAGAATTCTAGACTTCTTGTCTTGAGAGATAGAAGCGTCTTTCTGTTTAAGCCGGTTTGAAGCCTCTCGTAGCCAGAGCATCATGACTGATGTACTGTCAGTTGATCATTGCCTCGTATGGTCCACTCTTTCCCACTGGCAGGATCTATCCACTCAGCACCTTCTGAACATACCTTGAGCTTTTCTGCATCCGTGCTGTATCTACCTGGAATATGCTTTCCTTCTCTAAGTTCATTCTTCCAAGACCAAGTTCAAACTTTAGCTTTTTCCATAAACCCTGCCTACTTCAGCCTAAAGAACATCTATTCTCTGTAATCTGAAGCAGTTACTGTAAGCGCTCTCCATCCGTAAGTGCTGTCCATCCGTAAGCGCTCTCCATCCGTAAGCGCTGTCCATCCGTAAGCGCTGTCCATCCGTAAGCGCTGTCCATCCGTAAGTGCTGTCCATCTGTAAGTGCTGTCCATCCGTTACTTGGTCTTGGCACTTGCTCATATCTTCCTCTTATGCCTCTGCTCCTGTCATTGGTCTGCACTGTTGTTGGTTTCTTGGGTGGCTGCTTAACTTTTTACGTATTTGCCTCATCTCCTTGACTTATCCAGGAGGACAGAGACCACGCCGAGGGCCTGACACCATGTTATACATAACAGGCACTTGGTACTTGCTCATTTGAAGAGCAGGGCTGCATGGAGATGAGCAGCCAAGCATTTGAGATTCTGGTATTTCTGTAGAGTTTTGAAGGGCCTGGAACATTCTAACCGAGGGGGGACTGGCTGCCAGGAGAGTCTCAGGGAGGCAGGTGCGGTCTACTAGGGGTGCAGTATTCTTGTACCTCTTCACTTCTGAAACAGGAGTAAGAAGAGGATGATGGAAGAGTGCTGAATTTCCTGCACACTCTTCCATTAGGTAAAATGTATGCATTTCTTCCTGCTTACTCTTTTCTGACCTCGTGTTCTAGCCTTTTATAATATAATCTTTTTTTCAAACATCTTTATTGGTGTATAATTGCTTTACAGTGTTAGTTTCTGCTGCATAACAAAGTGAATCAGTTATACATATACATATCCCCATATCCCCTCCCTCTTGCGCCTCCCTCCCGCTCAAGCCTTTTGTAGTATAATCTTAAAGTAAGACAGGAAATATTAAAAACTGACAGTGCTGTTAATGACATACTGTGTGGTTTAGGTGAAAGAACACTGGATTGGCAGTCAGGGCTCAGAATTCTTGTTACATTTATGCCATTTCCTTGCTGTGAGGACTTGGGCCAGTGGCTTCATCTCCCTCAACTTTGTCTTCTTACGTGTTAAATGGAGGCAATTGGGTTTTCCTTACTCTACTGTTGAGAGCAAGAATGAAATTAAAATCGTGGTATGAAGGGAACTTTAAAGAGTAAGGAAGGAGTACTAGACCAGTAGGAGGCATTATGATGAGAAAAGTGAGTTGTGATTAGAAAAATGTAATACAAATTGATGGCTAGGAAATAAAGTTGAATTATAAATGAAATAGGTGTCTACAGACGTCCCCAGTTTATTGCCAGGTTAGATTCTGAAGGTTACTTTAAGTACAGTGTCAGTCTGTTCAGGCTGCTATGACAGAGTACCATAGGCAGGGTGGCTTATAAACAACAGAAACTTATTTCTTTCAGTCCTGGAGGCTAGAAGTCCAGGATCGGGGTACCAGCATGCTCAGGTTCTGTTGAGGGCCCCCTTCCAGGTTGCAGATGGCTGTCTTCTCCTTTTATCCTCACATGGCAGAAATGAGGTGAGAAAACTGTGAGGTGTCTCTTCTAAGGTACTAATCTCATTCATAAGGCTCCATCCTCATGACTTAATTACCTCCCAAAGGCCCTACTTCCTTGTACCATCACTTGGGAGGGTTAGGATTTCAACATGTGAATTTGGAGGGGATGTAAATATTCAGCCCGTATCATTCAGCATTTAGGATCTTTCTCACAGAGACAGTGTTCTAAGTGGTGATCCATTTGAAAAGCAAGCACTGAAAGCCTATTTAACTCACCCTGTATCCAAAGCAGGTGCTGCTGTGGTACACAGATTGTGCACAGAGCTGTTTCTCTGAGAAAATGCCTTTGAAGACGTCTCCTGTCCCTCTTTCATTGCCTGTCCGTCAGAGTCCTGCCTCTAACCTCACTCTTCCTCGTGCTGAGCGTGGGAACTCACTGGACTTTATTTAAAAAAAATGTTTTTTAAACTTTTTATTTTATATTGTATAATTGATTAATAATGTGTTAGTTTCAAGTGTACAGGAAAGTGATTCAGTTATATGTATATCTCTTCTTTTTCAAATTCTTTTCCCACTTAGGTTGTTACATAATATCGAGCAGAGTTCCCTGTGCTATACAGTAGGTCCTTGTTAGTTATTTATCTTAAATATAGTAGTGTGTACATGTCAATCCCAAATTCCCTAACTATCCCTCACCCCCCCATCCTTCCCCCTGGTGACCATAAGCTCGTTCTCCAAGTCTGTGAGTCTGCTTCTGTTTTGTAAATAAGTTCATTTGTATCATTTTTTTTTAGATTCCACATAAAAGCCATATCATACCATATTTCTCTTTCTCTGTCTGACTTGCTTCACTTAGTATGATAATCTCTAGGTCCATCCGTGTTGCTGCAGATGGCATTATTTCATTCTTTTTAATGGCTGAGTAATATTCCATTATATATGTACCACACCTTCTTTATCCATTCCTTTGTGGATGGAAACTCACAGGACTTTAGGTGGAGATGGACCTGCTGTTGATTCTGGCCAGGCTTTCCTTAGTGCCCGTGGCTGCCCAAAACACACAGCTTCTCTGCTGCCTTGTCCCTGGAGCAAATCACTGCTTTTCTGTTATTTTTTGGTAGGTTTTTCAATTAGTGATAGTGGGAAAATAGGAATGGAGTAGTAGTCCTCTGCCTATTCAATATGTTAGTTATGACTGCTTTGGTTGTGAGTGACAGAAAACCCTGCTATCGTGACTTGAACCATCATGGGGTTTATTTTCCACCATGTATAACAAGAAGTGTTGAGGTGGGTAGCCCAGGGCTGATGTGGCAGTTCTGCCTGTTTTACTGTTCTGCTCTCTTTACTTATCTTGAGACTTCACCCTCATGTCAGCATGCCTGCATTCCAGGCAGAAAGAAGGTGGAAGGGTGACAAGCAAAAGGTGCCTTTATGATATATATGAAACTTCATTTTGAAACCATTTCAAACTTACAGAAGAGTTACGAGAATAATCGAAGGAATTCCTGTATGCCTTGGGTTTCAGGTTTCACCAGGTGACCCAGTAATGTGTTCTATAGTAAAGTAAAGGGTTCAATCCAGGATTACATGTTATACCTGCTGCTCGTCACTCTGTCAGTGGTTACCTTCAGTCTAGAATGTTTGCTCAGTCTTGCCTTGGCTTCATGTCACTGTTAGAAAGGCCCTCCATTTGGGGTAGGTATTTTGGGCCAGATACTGTGATGACCACTGCAGCCTCTTGGGTGGCACATTTTGTCTGATTTGTCCTGTTTCTGGTGGTGGTAACTTTGATCACTTCTTGAAGAGTGTGTCGGTTGGGATTCTCCTCCGTGAAGTTACTTTTTTCTCCCTTTTGTAATAAATATTTTGTGAGAAATACTTTGAGATGATACAAATTTCTTTTTCTCGCCTCATTTTCATCTACTAATCTTATCATCTCAATGTCTCTTAAATTTATTTTTAACATTATGGTTACCACATGATGACTTGTTATTACCCTCATTCCTTCTCCATTTATTTGTTGGCGTCTGTTGTAAGGAAGCGCTTTCTCTTCTCCCCATACATATCCATGTATTCACTTACCTGTATGTGCTTGTGAGCATGTATTTTGTTCAGTGGGTTATAATACGTGATGGTCATTCATTTTGGTGTTTAGATTGTCCCAGATGAGGTCCATGAGTGCTTCTTTAAACTGACCTCTGTGTCCTCTTGACACATTCTCATCACTTTTCACCACAACACGTTCCAGACTCATTTTGTGTGTCTCTGCCCAAGCCCAGAATCAGCCGTTTCTCTAAGGAGGTCTGGTTCTTTCAGTGGAGAGCGGCGCTTAAAAACCAGTTTCTGGGCACTGACTGGTTGCTCAGGAGTGTTGCTGCCCCCAGGTCCTTTAAGGGGGACAGAGCTAGGAAATGATTGTGTATACACACACAATCCCATATGCACATGTACACTTAGTTTTTTTTTTAAATTAATTTATTAATTTTTGGCTGCGTTGGGTCTTCGTTGCTGCGTGCAGGCTTTCTCTAGTTGTGGCGAGCGGGGGCTACTCTTCGTTGCGGTGCGCTGGCTTCTCAGTGCGGTGGCTTCTCTTGTTGTGGAGCACGGGCTCTAGGTGCACAGACTTTAGTAATTGTGGCACGTGGGCTCAGTAGTTGTGGCTCACGGGCTCTAGAGCGCAGGGTCAGTAGTTGTGGCATACGGGGTTAGTTGCTCTGCGGCATGTGGGATCTTCCCGGATCAGGGCTTGAGCCCGTGTCCCCTGCATTGGCAGGTGGATTCTTAACCACTGCACCACCAGGGAAGTCCCAAGGGTTTTAACATAAATAGAAGTCCACACCAATACCTTCAAATCCAGGCCAGCCTTGCTTTCCATATTTGTACTCCCTTTCTCTGGGGACTTTGCTTCCAGAGTCTCAACCCTGGGCCGAGCCTGGCTGGAGGACCCCCCACTCACTTGTATCTGGGCTCTGACTGCAGATCTCTGCTTGGGCCTCACCCCTTCCCTCTAGGCTACCTGCTCGTTCAGGCCTCCTGGCTTAACAAAAAATCTTTACTTTGAGATGACTGTAGATTCACGTGCAATTGTAACGGATAATGCAGAGTGATCCTCTGTAGCCTTTAGTCAGT